AATGTAGTTTTTATTTCCACTTTGCTTTTATGTTGGTGGTTGAATGTAGTTTTTATTTCCACTTTGCTTTTATGTTGGTGGTTGAATGTAGTTTTTATTTCCACTTTGCTTTTATGTTGTGTTTAGTTTGTCAGGCCAAACAGAAAGCAAGCGCCAGCTGGCTGCGCTGCTGTACAAAAAACCATGCATTTTTTTATTAACAGAGTCTGAGAGTCCATTTTATTTTTGTTTTTGGTTGTTTTGTTTATTTTGTTTACCAGTTCCAGTGTTAAGTGTTTTTTTTAGAAAATAAAGTGTTTTTCTTTTTTTGGGCAGGATGTGCTTGCATTATTATATCATTACGTTTGGATCAAATTAAAACAGTCTTCAAACAATATTATCGTTTATCGCAATAATTTTTGAGGCTATTAATCGCTCAGCAAAATTTGTTATCGTGACAGGCCTATTTGTTTATTTTATAAAAAAAGAGAATTATCTAGAAATGCACCAATTAATCAAGAAGACAAAGAAGAGCCTGAAATTGAATAAATACAGCTTTTCTCACTCACAAATCCATCAAAACTAGAAATTCCGACCAGTTTTTGTCAATCAGCAACAACCAACAACATGTTCTGTGATGCACCGTTTTCTAGGTCAACAACAATCAGATGTTATTGACATATACTTCTTTACAAAAAACTGGGATAGCACAATTTCTGCATTTTCTTACTGTCAGCATTACTTCAACTGACAAGATCCACTGAGAGTACTGAAACAAGCATTTTAAAAAAAGCACTCATTCAAATAGTACACACATATTTTAACCTACTTTCTGACCTTCCATCTTTACCAAAACTTCTTTTGTAAAAACCTCACTTATTTTCACTCCTGGTAAACGTTTAAGTGGTTTTTGTTGGTTGAGATGGTGGGGAAAGGTGGGCTTTGCAGCATAATCTACTACTACCACTATTTAACAAGGTTGGACCATAAACAGAGAGTGATCTTTGACCATTGCTCTTTGCCGTCTCCTCTTACACTGGACACTGAAATGGCACCGTTGAATGAGTGTCTTTTGAACCGTCTCTCTGTTGATTTGCACCAGATTCCAGTTGAAACACCAAGTGACGACCCATTTCCAGTCACTTAGTAAAATCCTTCAGGTTATTACTCACAACGTCCCATTTTCAGAATTAATAAGATCAACGCCCGTCGAGCCATCGTGGGGTAAACAAGCCCAGAGAATCATGTGTTCTCCATCACACTCGACACTGGGTCCGAGGTGGCTTCTCCACAGAATTTATTATGTTTTCATGCCACCACCTCCTGGGGAGTTTGTTGCTGAAAAGCTCAATCTTCCCTTTTCCAGGCATGCTTCCCTAATAATGGGTTGTGAGGCAGCATCTACTAGTAGCTGTGAAACTTTGTGATCCCAAGATGCCTTTGCTGCAATTCTCTGAGAATGTTTAGAGATTTCTTACCTGCTTCCCCATCGTGCCCACTGTGCCTGGTGGCAAGAAAAACAGAGGTTTTCTTCCACCCTTGTGACCACAGGCTAAAAGAAATTGACCTCTGTGTCATTTTTATACCCCAGAAAAACAGAAAGTCATGAATTTCTGATTAGATGGTGCTGAAGCCTCTGATCCACTTTTAAAAAAATTAAGTATAAATCAAAAGAAATCATCGAAATGCGTACGTTATATAAGAAAACATTTAACTACAAAATAAAAAAAATATATATATTAAAAAATAATGGTTGGATTTTTCCCCCCGCCCCCACAGAGATTATGCTGCTGTAGAAAAACGTTTAATTTCTTTTCACACATCTTTACCAGGTGTGACAAAAACTGTAGCTAGCAGGTTAAATGTTAATTGTTTTACTCCTTCTGTTTTAAACAGACATATTTTTTAAAACAGAAGAAGTAAAAGTACACAAAGTCAGCAATCTATGTCTGCCAGAGGCTTAAATATTAGTACTCCTTAAGGTGCAACAACTAACAGAATAAGCAGCCATGAATCTTCTGAGGCTATTAAACCATCACCCAACAAATCACGCCTCTGTGTGCTGAGGGGGAAATGGGGGGCGCAGCCTCTTAAATTTCCTGCCATGCATAAAAGCAAAGCAGTTGGGAATCACAGAAGCAAAGGAAAGGTAATTATTTACTTTGAGCTTAGTCATTGTGGGCCTCGGACCGCCGACGAAATGAAGGTTTGGGGTCACCTCCTGACCCTCTGTAGGCAGCAGGTCATCACGGTTCTCCTGTTGTGGTGGCCCAAAGAGGCTGGGTGTTGGAACCTGGACTTCGGACAGAACGAGCCCACAGTCCTCGGCTGCTCGAAGGACCCCGGGTACTTCCTGAACGCGACCGTACCAGCGCAGGAGACGGGGGAGATGATGCAGAGTGCTCGGTGCGTGGGCTTGGAGCGAACACTATTAAAGAGGGGAAGAAAAGGGGAGATATCGATTTAGTGAATTGACTGCTGTGTCATGTCTATCGAAGCGAGAGGTGAAGTTCCACAAAAAAAGTCACTCATCACGTTTCTGTACAGACAAACACACTCCAGGGGCTGGCAGGAGAAGCAGGAAAACAGAGTTGGCAGCTGGTGGGGGGGAGGGGGGTAGTGGGGGTGAAGACACAAACTGGGCGAGACATGATAACAGAAGCTGCATTTGACTGCGTGCGACAGAAAGACGACACGCAGAACGGAGGACGAGTGAGAAGGAGTCACTGGGAGCCGTGCGCGGCGTGGACAGAGTCGTTAAAGGGAGACATGCTACGCTGAGTGTGAAACTGGAAACCAGTGGAGCGCAGCTGACTGCTAAAAGCCTCGATGTGAGGACTTCAGCTCCTTCCCACAGTGGACAGATAGTTGGAGACAGCTGACATGTGAAACAAAGGTTCGGACTCGGGGTTTCTGCTCGACAGGACGACGTCCACGATTAATAATTTACCCGTCCTGTTTCGAAGCTGTGTGTCAAAATAGCTTAATAGTTGAACAAATACATTAATTTAAACTCATTTTTTTGTATGTCAAAATAATTAATCAGAGGTTTAGCAGAAACCTAGACTGATTTTTTTTTTATTTATTTTTTTAACCTACATCTAAAACATTACACAGCGTAAACACTGAACATCAACCAAACAGTAAATTTTCACTGTGAAACAAAGTGGTGGAGTCATCATACTGTGGGAAATGTTTTTTTTTTTTTTTTTTCCCCATCACAGACAAGAAAGCCAGTCATATCCCTGGGGTGGAGGTTCTACTTCACTGTTCCAAATATACAGCTAGAGTTCAAAGGAAAGTTAAGATGAAAGTAAATTCCTGTGTTAGAGTGGTGCAGAATCTGAGGTATGACTTGGAAAACATTTATGCTAATAGTGACTCACTGAGGCTGAGCTGTTTTGCAAAGAATGGAAAAAAAATATTTTGTCTCTAGATGAGCAAGGATGGATGAGACACACCCAAAAGACATGCAGTTGTGATAAGAGGTCAGTGTAATTCTAAAATGGGCTGAATGCAAATGCAAGCAACACTTTTAAAACTTTTATTTACAGTAGATCTTTTTTTCCCCAAAAAAAAACACACGCACCCTTTTTCTTTCCACTTCTCAGCTGTGTGGCCCTGTGTTGCCATTTTATTTAAAAATCCAATAAAATATCTTGAAGTTTGTGTTTGACAAAGTGTGGAAAGTTTCACATGTTAGATTTTGCACTTCACAATCATAACATAATGAAAATCAGAGCTTATTAAATAACTTGAGGTTTTAATCAAAGCATTCTCAATTGCACACAATCTCCGGAAAACATTTAATTGCCAAACTGTTACTGATTAATTGCAATGTTAATAATGAGCACTAATTGTTAATTGCTGATTATTAAAAAAAAAAATTATAATTCCAAATGTTTTTGTTTTTTTTTCCACTTCATTTTTCTTCATCATAATTTGACCAGCATGCTTTGTGAGCTTTCAGATCTTAGTTACTAAATCTATCAATCAAATGTCCGCATCAAGTGCAGTGAAACCCTGACCGGCCAAAAATACAGGCATAAAAAAATGTCCATGCATGGCACAGAAAATATAATATGCTATCTAATATTGCATCCTACCCTTCATGATTGCAATATTGCATACAATAATATGATTTGATATATTGTGAAGCTCCACTACATAAAACTTGCCTGTGTGAACCTGGTCAAAATTTTGTGCATGCCACTCAGGTCTACGGTTAAAAATAATAAATAAATAAATAAACCTTAGTTTCTGTTACTTTAAATGCAAATTGTAAAAAGAGATCATTTTGAGTAATGAATATTCTGCATTTATGAGCTTCAGCTCTTGAAGTTCTGATTGAGTTTGAAGTTTTCAGGCCAGCATAAGACCCTGCCATGATGATCTGTCAGAGAGAGAAACACGCTCTCAGATGAAATGCATGTCAGCCTGCTGCATTTCAATAGAATCCCTCCCATATAGTGTTATCAGTTTCTGCCAGGTGGCCCAGGACCACCTGTGAGAGCCAAAATGTGCCAGGTCTGATGCAGCGAGTCTCCTTGATTTGACTTTCTGCCTGAATGCGTTTGAAAGGAGGCTGCTCACCATGACCGGAGTGTCGGAAGCCAGACGTCGGACATTATTTCACAAGTCATCATCATAAAGATGTCAGCGACACGGTGAATATGCATGCAACTGGAATTGTGTGGCACGGATGGTGGAAAAACGTGTGTGATGACACGAGTTCTGGATGGCAGCAATTAATGTCTTGTGGCACAATGTCGCAGACAATGGTGTGTGTGTGAATGGGCAAATGAGAAACAGATTGTAAAAGCACTTAAACTCCTATTAGTGTGGATTATTTGCCCACATAACAGGTGCTGTGCGAATACAAACTGTTATTAAACAAAGTGCGTCATTATATCAAAAGTACTTGGCTAATTGCAGTAAAAATAGCATGAAATTAACTTCTGGCATGTGTTTGTTGAAATAAAAAAAGTGCAATTATCCAAGATAAACAGCAGAAATAAGGCAATTATTAAGAACAAATCATTGCTCAAAGTGGTAATAAATCCTTCTTTATATCATCACGCCAGAAGGCCTTACCAGATAGTGATGAATGCAGGGCAGCAGCACGACATCAGTCAGAGTGAAGTAAAGTCCCTCAGCAAACACATGCTCCAGTTCAGGCAGATCCGTCGTCTTCACTTTCCTGATCTCAGAGTTCTCTCTAGTGGTCCCTGCCGGAACTGAATCCACTGCCAGTTTGGCCAGAGCCGCCCTGAGCTCGAGCCCTTCAAGTTCGGGTTTCCCCTCGCCTTCAGGCGCGCCGTTCTTTTGCCTTTGCCTCTGCTCTTGGAGCTTCTGTCTCCGGATTTTGTCGTCGTTGTGTACTTTGACGGGCTCGGCGAGTCGTCGCTCGAGGGTAACAATAGCAGGAGGCAGCAGCTGGGCCTGTCCCGTGGGCTTCTGGAGGTGTTCCTCGACTGCAGAGGGGATGCCCAGTTCGCACAGTCTGGTCCATTTGCTCACCTGATAGCGATGAAAGAGGAGATCAGATGATAAGAATTCTCCTTAAAATAATAATAATTTAAAAAAAAAAAACCTTGGGAATTAATAGGAGCTGTCTAAGCTTAAGATTTGTTTTAAAATATGCACTTCTCACAAAATCTTAAGGACATTTTGCTTTCAGGTGAAATTTAAGGATGATCTAAAATGTTCACGCTAATGTGTTTCATCATGAAAGTAGGGCCTTTAAGTAAATGGAGCAAAAGCCAGCAGCAGTGCTGGTTATGCTACAACAACAAAAAAATCTCTGTAACATGTCATGTGCCCTTCAACATCAATTACACCTTGACAACGCCTCGCACTGTTCACAAGTGGACTTATTGTATGCTGAGGAATGGCGTCCCACTCTTCTTGAAGGGTGCCCCTCAGGTCATTGAGATTCTGAGGTGCAGAACTGTGACTCAGCTGATCCAAGAGGTTGTCTATGAAATTCAGGTCTGGAGAGAGTTCAGGTTACTTTATTCAAGGTACTTCAATCAGCAATTCCCTAATGATGTGACCTCAACGAGCTGGAGTGTCTTGTTGTCCACCAAGATGGACACTAGTTTTGTTTTGTTCATGCAGGGGTAAAATAACTGGATTGGTGACATTTTTCAGGTAGTATGGGTACTGTACAATTCACAATAGTGTAGGACAGATCTTTATTGACTAAATACATCTGCCCACACTGTATCACCACCAGCACTAAGAGATGATGGTGTGATGGCTCAAGAACAGCGTTCAGAAACAAACCAGTCAGCAGTTTCTGCACGATCCTGCTAATCTAATCAACCATTCATTTGATTCAGGTGTTTTGGACCGGGGAAGCATAAATGGGTGTTTCACCTGCACAATCCTTTTGAGTTCCATTTTGAATAAAACCACAGTCACTGACATAGATGTGATCCGTGTCAAGCACTTTATCCGGGTGAAATTGTGATGCGTTTCCAACTAACCTCTGCACAAGCTTTCAGACATGTTTTTTTAAACCCCAGCAGCTCCTGCACATCCTTCCTGGAGGGGTCAGCCTCGATGGTTCTGATGATGATGTGCCTAAGGACCACCGCCAGCCCAGCCCGGCAGAGCCGCCCGCTCTCATCCACGGCAGCCGGGAGACGGCAACCCTTCACCAGCCGCGGGAGACCCTCCGGGGAGAGGAAGTCGTCGCACACACTCAGAGACTCTGGGAGGTGAAACCTCTGGGATTCAGGGAAACGTTTGTTGTTGCTGTCTCTGCGAACCAGGAAGACTTTGAAAGACTTGGACTCGCAGTAAGACAGGAGGAACAGGACGATGGAGGTGTGCAGGGGCAGACGCGGCTCCTCGTTATGGGAACAGACTTCTAAATAGAGGCAGGGATGCAGTTGCTCTGCTTCAGAGTGTTTCATTTTAAATGGAGTCAATGCTGTGGAGTAGAACGAAAGATATTTGTTTTGCTTACAGATCACAACACTTATGCGCCAAAATCCTAACTTCAACCCGTTACATCAAAAATAAAAAATAAATAAAAAATACTCACAAACACTAGTTACACATGGATCCTTAACGTTCACAACAGAGCTTCTTCTTCTTCTGCATAAGGCTAACATGACGCCACAGTGCCCTCTGCTGTGAATAGTGGCAACAACAATAAACTCTCTTTACCTAAACTTCCCATAGAAAATCTATGGAGTATTTTCTAGCAGAAGATTCTTTTTCAAAAGAATGTTCATTTTTCCTGAAAAATTTAATTTCGGATTTTCATCAGCTAACTTAAAAGTGAACGACCTAAATATAAAACAGATATGTGTGCACTATCACTTTTAC